TACTTCAGAATATGTATTATGATATTGTATTGTAAGCAGCCCTCAGTGTATATGTATTTGTATGTATGTGTGTGGTGAGGGGATGGTTGGGGGCATATCAATATACAGTTCCACTGTTCAGTCCTTCAGTCTCTAATGAGTTTTAAGGCTGGGATCTTGTCAACAGGTGGAGGGGTGGGTGGGTGAGGTATTGCAGATTGAGACTTTTCCCATTAATGTGCACTTCGTAGCTGCTTGTTTCAGGGCAAAGTTAAAAGGATGGTCCACCTCACTGACCAATTGGCTGAAGGTTTGTGAGACCTGAGGGAAAGTAAAGTTAGAGAAGGTGAGGGTGGGGGCTTGCAATTTTTTTAAAAACGTGTCAAAAATAACCTTACAAAACACCTATCTGATCCAGTCTGCAAAAACTTCATGTTAATAACTGTTTGCCTAATCAAATCACATATTCCTGCCTGAACAGGTTATATGGTTTGTGAGATGTTAAAACCAGAGCAGGTTAGACCTGTTTCTCTGCTCCTGTCTTGTCTAAACCAAAAGTAGCAATCCACCAGCGCACACATATAAAGGTATTGGGAAAGGTTTCATATTATGTGTCTGTTAGCTTAGAAGATACAGCTTTTATCTTTGACATAATTTGTCGGTCAGTTCCTTCCTCTGAACTGACACGGACGGAAGTGTGCAAGGTGCTGCTGATCACATGTAGCTCCGTGACAGATACATCTGAGAAGAAATGTTAGACTGGAAACTGGTGACACTTCTCACACACACGAGCAAAAATTTCTTTCCAAGCACTTGGAAATAACTTATTTCATTTGGAAACAATATGCTTACAATCGCTATAAATTTCCTGACAATAGTTTAAATGTATATCTTCTGAATCTGGATAGGGGACAATTTACTTTGATTGTCTTTTCAGAGGTGTCCTGAAATGTCTAATATGTTAACCAGACACCAACGTCTATATTTTTAAACAAAAGGTCAATTTTTCCTACTTATCTTTGTGCCCAGTGATGTGAAGATAGTTAATAAGTTTTTTTCCACAATTTTCGTCAATATAATAAAACTTACTTGTTTCAATAATATTAATAAATAATAATCCTTGCATTTGATATAGCGCCTTATCACATTGCCAAGATGTCTCAAAGCGCTTCACAGAAATATACTGTAAATTGAATTGACAGTATATTTTGTGGTTGAATTAATCTATATAGTTTGTAAATTAATGTAAAATTATGTAAATATGTTTTACGTAGTTACACTTTACAGTAAATCGAAATTAAGCATTATAGTTTATAACTTGTTTTCTGTCAAGGAGAATGTGATGAATAAGCATGAGGCTTTACAGGTTTCAGGCTGCATGTTTAATATGGTGAATATTGATCAGATATCATTATTACTGCTGGCTCTTGATTTTCACTCTGAATAAGATTTCAATTTGGTTTTGAGTAATACTGCACCGGAAAAATGTAAATTTTCACCAGAACAGATGGGGAGCAGAGGAACATACCATAATGTCAAGGTATTCATTTCTATAAGATGGTTACGATTTCGTGGACATCACGCAAAGTTTTATATCCAAAAATAAGAATTGGACAGCAAACACTCAGAAAATCGAATTAAGTATGAAACTCTGGAACTCTCTCCCTCAATCCCTCTACCTTCCCAATCCTTCCCCATCTTCAGGTTGCACCTGAAGACCTTCCTCTTTAGCCATGCCTCCAATCACCTCCTACTGGCTCGGTGTCGTGCTCCGCCACTGTCAAGCGCTCTGGAACGCTTCCCTGCATGAGAGGTGTTACATAAATACAAGTTGTTGTTGCTGAAGTACTTCCTCATTGAAAGGAGAAAGGGAGAAAGAACTGAGCAGAAGAAGAGCGAGAAAATGTGAAGATAAATAAAGAAACATACTTTTGAGAGAACAGAATTTTTTAAAGCTTAAGCGATAGGATGCCTGAAATTTCTAGTCTCTGACAATATACCATCTGAGACACTAATTAAGAGACTTCTTAATTCCCTTTCAGATACCTGACCTTGTTTGAGGAAAAAGGAAATGGTTGCATGTCCTTTAGCCACTTTTCAGTTTCTGAAGCTGGGGATTTTGTCTCAAACAAATAAAACTGCTATTTCCTACAAGAGAGCACAAGTCTGAAAAATTCTAAAGTCCTTTGTTGTCATATAAAACAAATTCTGAAACGAGTCACAAATCAATAAACCCATTTTGTCACAATCACAAGGAATTAATGCTCTTTTGTAAATGCCACCATGCATAATGTACAGTTACTGACAGTAACAAGACTTAAAAAAGAATGTTAAAAAACTGAAACGTGAATTCATTGAGCAATAATGGGCATGAATATGATAGATACTTCACATGATAGGTTTGTAGTCACGTTGGATTCATCTGGGTGAGGCACTAAGTAACGTCTGTGCGCCCAATGCTGACTTATCCTCGAGTGAAGATGGACACTGAGTGAAAATAATAATCTTTGTGTTTGACATGGCCATTTACATGAGTTTAAGGATGCCCTCTGATCTCAGGTTTTAGGATAGTTTGACCTGTGTTTGCTTTTGTGTTTAACGTATCAGTTGTAGCTCTCGAAAAGACAACAAACAGGCTTGCAACACTCTCTGGTATCCATTAATCTCTAAGTGAGTCGCAAGATAATTCTATAATAGGCCCCTCCATAATATCTGTGAATTGTGTGATTTTGTACTGTTGTCTCATCGATGTTGTAATTAATTGTGGGATTTTCTTTGTAATTATTACTGTGACAACCATTCGTGCTGTCAGCACATGCACCCCACACATTGCTCAATGTGAACAGCCCTTATAGGGAAAGCTATACTGCTGCTTCCTTTGATATATGCAAATACATTAAATTTCTCTGGATGAAAAATACTGCAGATGCTGGAAATCTGAAACAAAAACAGAAGTCGCTGGGAACACTCAGCAGGTCAGACAGCATCTATGGAGAAAGGAAAATGAGTCACCGTTTCGGGTCCGTGACCCTTCACCAGTTCTAATGAATTATTCAAAATTATACTTCCATTTGGGAGAAAGATCAGCACTCAAGTTAGCATTTGGCTTGGTGCCTTTCATGACAGGAGGATATTTCAAAATGCTTCACAGGCTTTACTGTAAAGTTGTAGTTTATGTATGTCAGGCCATTTAGGCACAGCATAATCCTACAAACAATTAAGAAATGGATGACCAATTCAATTTGGGGGACTGTTGGCCAGGAATCTTCATCAGCAAGGATTTTTTTTAGTCTGCCGGGTGACACTGGTGAAACCAAGCTGAGACTTCCATGCACCCTACCTCCACGTGGAAATTCCAGAGATAGATTGTTGGAATGAAATATGCACTCTCTCCCTGGAGGGACGCATCATGCTTACCTAATTTTGGAAAGTATTAGGCGCGGGTTGGCAAGAGCCAAGGTTTGGGGACCCCAGAGTGTTGGGGTAACTGCTGGAGTGTAATCAGCTAAGCCCGCAGAACTTGAAAGGATTGTATATATTAAAAGGATCCTGTTGGAAAATTTTGTATGTTGGTTCAGAGCTGCATTGGACTCAGCTCTGCTCTCCAAACAGTCACTTCGGGGAGAGAATAGCTGGCAAAGTTAAAGAAAAACCTTCTGGAGTCCATCTTAAAATATCTACATGGATGACCTAAGAATAGGGTAGGTGAAGATTGAGAAAAAAACAATATCTTCAACTGGGCATCATAATTCAAGTGCTCTTGATGTTGGGGATGTGTGGGAAGGAATCCAGTATTGGATTGTAGGAATATTCTAAAGTATTTACCTCTTTTGCTTTGGAGATCAGTAGTTGTGTAAGTGGAAATTTCTTTCAGGAGACAGAATAGATGGCAGAAACAGCAATGCATTAGGTCTTGCATGATCTGTGGACAAGGGGCACCTGATGGGCTTGGTGGTCTTTTCTTGCACTGTGCTTGACGTGTCATGTGTTTGCTATGGGTGTTGCAATATATTGCACGCTACAGGAACTACTCTGAATAGAACTCTCACACGGAAACCCCCTCCCTCTTATGAAGGCAATTTCCTACATCCAGATTATCTCAGAAGAATGGACATTCACTTCCCTTGCGTACAAGTTTTCCAAGCCAGATGTATTACACTAAAACCTTGACTGGTCAGACTAATGGGGCGGGATAGTAGGAAAGAGAACTAGTCAGGCGAGCCGGAATTTCCAGCTATGGTAATGACTAACAGTAATGATTTACTGGCATTTTTCGGCCCTGGGTTTTTTTATGCTTGCAGGATTCCAGCCTTACTAAACAAACGATCTGAGTCAAAGTCAATATCCCACCAAATGTTAGTCGCCAAAGCAGGCCTACACATAGATATTGTGAAGGCTAGCAAAGAGAGTGAAGCAGGAAGTTGTGGCCAACACATGGGTTCAGATCTGCTGAAATATTTAATTTTCAGTCCAGCTAAGTTTGAATGCTGCATTACTGGAATCCAGTAAGTTGGAGGTTTAAACATAACAAGTCTCCACTTCAGTCAAATATCAATGTGAGAATCTAATAGCCCCTTGTTCCGCCACAAAATGCAGTTACTCCACTGTAGAGTATATCCTGAGAAACCCTTCGAAATGTTCTCAACGACATAAGGCGCTATATCAAATGTAAGGATTATTATTGTAAGATCACTTTCTTCTAAGATCACTTTTCTTAAGTCTACAAAGGAATATTTAATACTTTAATACTAAGATATTCAAGTATTTAATACTTGAATATTTTATAGTTGCATGAAAAATATTTTGAAAGTGGTTGTGATGTAGGAACCCGGTATATATTTTGAAAGCTTTAATACAATATGCTGAATGCTCAAATGATCAATGTCTGTGCATGCCCCAAAGAGGAAACAATACTTCTTTCTGACACTGTTAAGCACTCTGAGACTCTATCCTGGGTGGCGGGCGCTATATAAGTGCAAGCTATTGTTGTAACTAACCATAATTCATAAATTCAAAACATGTTTCATTTTCAGTTTTGTAAGTTTTAATTGACATGAATAAATATCCAAGAACTCTATATCCATCCAATTTTACAACAGTAAAAAAATAAAACATTTTTACAAATTTTACATTAATTTACAAACTATATACATTATTGAAATATTGATATTAAAAATATTGGTGCACAGTTGGAAACCATCACTCAGACAGATGTAATTTTTTTTTACATCATTTCAGTTATCTTATACCCAGTCATAGTGGTCAAAGACATATTCTACTCAACACATCACTTCACACCACAGCATGGCTCCATTTCATTCTAAGGTTCTGTAATGCTGCAATGGAACTCAATGTCTCTTGCTGTTTAAACTCATTTAAATTACAGTATTTGTGTTTTTAAAATTCTTAAAAAAACATGAGCTGCCGACTGCAAGTGTTGAAATTCTTAGTGTACGACATTGAAGTTCTTTCGTAACTCTGTGGTAGAATGGGCAGCCATGCACCTTCAATCTTTTTTTTCTTTTAAATAAAGTCCAAATGTTTCTGAGTGGAGGTACAAGGGGAATCTTCAGCAGCTCAATAGGTGACCACCAATCACACAGTCATCGTAACTAAATGTGAGCTGGAAAGGAAATAGAGAATCAGTCAGCAACAAATTCACATTGTTTAACATTTTCATTACTTTGCACTGTGCTGAAGATCTAACTATTAGTTTATTCTGTACTGGGTGTTTAGTTACAGTTAAGAACAGCGTGTGACCTTCGGATCAAATTGGACTTATGTTTTTAGCACTGTTAAGACAGGAGATTTCAAGTCGCTCACCTCTTTCTCAGGCGATTCAGGTTCCCACAGATAATCCTCCTCATTCATGATCAACAGTGATGGGTCTGTTACGTTCATCAGCTCCATCTGGATTTTGTGGTTGTCTCTGCCCACGGTCAGGTGGAACGCTGTGCAGCCATTGTACATCAATGCATTGGGGTCAGCTCGACAGACCAGCAGCAGCGACACCATGTCAGCATCCTGCTCTTCTACTGCGAGGTGCAAAGCTGTCCTGCCACTTGATGTTTCCTGAGGGAAAGAACACACCATAGAGCTAAGTAGATGCTGCAACCAGGAGAAGGCTGAAGAGTATTAATGTGCTAATATGATTGGGGTGGGGGGCGGGGAGAGTCACTGAGCAGAGGAAAATCAACATACCTGTGCATTGATGTTAGCTCCCAGCTGAATTAAATAGTTCACCATCTGATAATGTCTGTTTTTGACTGCCAAGTGCAAACAAGTGAGTCCTGAAATTGAAAATATTTGTAAATAAACAACTCCGCTCATCAATATTTATTTGGTATTGATAAGCAATTGTGTATTTTGATATTGATACTAAGCTGCAGCTAAAATGTTTTAACCCTCCCAAAACGTCTAAAAGCTGTAAGGTTTCGGGCGGGGGGGAATTAAATGGACATGGTTGTAAGATCTGTCGTACCATTGTAGTTTCTGTTGTCCAAGAGACTTTGAATGTGGAGCCTTGTGGAGCATTCGCTGATTGCCTGCACGCAGGATGAATTCATCTCACACGCGATGTGCAGAGGAGTGTTTCCTTTCACGTCCCTCAGGCCCAGGTCACCTCCGGACCAAAGTAAATGTCGCACGAGCTGCGGCTGATCTGTGATCACTGCTAAATGCAGGGGGGTCTGAGGAAAATAAGAGCCGTGAGAATACTGCAAGAAAAACATGCAACATAGAACTGCACTAAACATAAGTGCAAGTTTACTGTTACAACAAAATATACAGTCAATTAACTTTACAGTATATTCTATGAAGCACTATTATTAAAATACAATATGTAAAAAAGTGCTTTAATGTACACAATTTATACTGTGTATAAAACCCAGTTGACAAAATTAATTTTAATATCTAATCCTTAATCTCAACCCCTCCCCCTCCCCCACCACCACCACGACAAAAAAAAGGAAATTTTATGTAAATTGCGGCACTGTTTTCCTCGAAAATATTTACCTGTTTCAGGTAATTCTGACTGCTGAGGTATTGGTCGCCTTCCACTGTGTTCTTGAGGATCTGATCCACTATATCCGTGGCTCCATGGATGATTGCCAGGTGGAGAAATCTGCAGAAAGAAACGAGCAAAGGTCAGTCACAGCTCAGGACAAGGTATTTTTAATTAAAAAAATATATATATGCAAATCGACTGAACAGCTCTGGCGGAAAACACTCCAGAATTGTGCAAGCCGTGGGGGATTTTTTTTGGGTGCTTTCCAGCCCTCGCTGTTAAATATTTATCACGCTGATCAGGCAACCAGTCGCTTTGGCTGCTGGCCAGGGACTTTCCAAAGCTGAAACAGGAACCGCACCGCCCCAGCGCCCTCCTGGCAGAACACTGTGTTCTCAAACTGAGCTGCCCACAGCCGTCTCACTGCAAAATCCACCCACCCCCCCACCACCACCCCGCACCCCCACCCCCCCCCCATTTCTACACAACTCTTTTACCTTTGGGACGTCCTCCCGACGTGAAAAGCGCTATATCAAATGCAAGGATTATTATTATTATTATTATTATTATATCTTGCACTCTTACACTCAACCGATTCACCGATGCTGCATTTTTTTCCCCCTTTATTATTATTATTATTATTATTATTATTAATCATAATGATTACATTATTATGATGCATGGGTTTTATTATTTCACGATGCTCTCTGGGGGATGGTGGGGGGGGGGGGGTTTAATGTAAAAAAAAAGAAGTCCCAAGTTTTTTTTCTCCGAGCCTCATTTTTATCGAAATGTTTCATTATTTTTGAAGTGGTTTTTTTTTAAAAAAAAGCCGCGTTTTGCTGACAAAGAACGCGCACGTAGTTTTAAAGTTGGGTCTTGGGGTTTTTTTTTTTCCTTTCTCCCCTTCTCCCCCCTTTAAAAAAAATAAATGCGGAGACAAACTTCACCACATCCTTGTCAACTGCACATTGTTATACGCGAACTGTACTGTTTTATAACTGCGTGTGGTTTAACTGTTGGGATTTTTAAATATTATATACACATAAATATGTGTGATACCACTGTTAAAAGCTCCTTTTTTTTTTCCTCTCTCTCTCTCTCTTTCTCTTTCCACCTCCCCAGCCTTGTGCACAATTTTTTTTCAACCCCCCCCCCCCCACCCCCCACCCCCCCCTCTCTCTCTCTCTCTCTCTCCAAATAAAAACTTTGAAAGCAAAAAAAAACTTACGTGTCTCCATCCTCCGACACAAAGTCTCTCCAACACGGGGCGCTTTCTGCCATTCCCGGTCTCTTGTCTGTTAAGCTCAACTCTTGGATTTCCCGAAGCATCTCCTCATCCTTCTCGTTCATAGATCCGATCCCACTGTCGCAGCGATCCTCAGCGGCCCCGGTCTGCTTCCCGGCCACCCAGGGCAGCCCGGACCCCGACTTATAGTCCGCTTTGCCCTGATCGACGACCCCTTTGCAATTGTCGCAGTCCATATCTCTCGCGTATAAGTTATCCATCGTTGTGTGATCGGTCCTGGTTTACAAGTGGAGTTGGCAGAGGAGGAGAAGGAGGGTTGGTGATGGTGTGAGAGGGTTGCGGGGGGGGGTTGGTGGTGGTGGTGGTGGTGGGGGGGGGGGGGGCAATAAAAAAAAAACAGGACACGAGTTTCTCACTTGCAAAGAAAAAAAAAGAAAGACCAACTGGAGCTGTGAGGCTGTACAGCAACAACCACTGCGTCTCCAAAGTCTCAGTCAGAGCGTCTGCAGCTCAGGTTCTGTGGCTTTGCTTATATACACCCACTGCAGTTCAGATGTGGGGATTTTTCAGGGGGAGGAGGAGCTTGAGTTTAAGCTGTTCTGTATTTTTTGGCTGGGAAATTCCAGACCGCTTTGAACCAGAAATAAGCTAATTAGACATCTATCTCGAATGTACAGAGATTGGGGGGAAGGGGGGAAAGGAGGGTAAACACCGTGTCGCAATTCACACTGAACTTAAGAACACGGTGTTCGAGAAGGAAACGGACGGGATTCCCAATCTTTCTTCTTATGAAAAACTGGGGAACAGAATGCACTGCTGTATTTACACGTGGACCCCCACCCAAAAAATTTCCCCGGTGACGGGAAAGGAAAACGTAACACGTTAACATTCCGTTATAGCATGCAACGGTCCCCGGTTTGGGGGAGGGGGGGAGGGGGGGGGGAAGTGGTAGAGGGTGGTGAGAGGGGAGAGAGAGGAGAGTGGGGGAGGGGAGAGAGGGCAGGAGGGGGCTGCCTCTGTGCATTCCACTCTGGTGGATTGACCAGTACAGAGCGCAGTTACAAGGTGGGTCTTGTCATTGACCCCCCAACCCCCACCCTCTCTGTCGCTCACCCTCCTTATAGTATGGGATGGTGTGGGGCACCAGCAGGTTATGAAACCTGGACCCTCTCTGCATACCCCATTGTCATTGCACGGTGGAAACAGGAATGTAACCTGTATGCTTTGGCCATTAATTTTTAGCCAAACAAGACAATTCACAGGCACAAGGACGTAGGAACAGAGTTCATTGTGAAAATGTCTGGGACGCTTCCTGTGTGGGTTTTTTGAGTGAGTGAGTGAGTGAGTGAGTGTGGTGTGTGTTAAGAAAATTTTGGTCGACCAAGGAGTGGGTGGAAAGTTCGGAAATGGTTCAAAAATACAAGAGAAAGTCCCGTTTGGTACAGGGCAGCGGGCACGGGGTGTGGGAACATCCAGAAGCCAAGAGAGAGTTACATTTGGCTTCTGATTACGCATCCTGTACCTCATTCCTAAATCAATCTCCCAGCACAAGCTATACGAGAAGGGAGAAACCCAGAGCAATGTGCCTTTAGAATCATCATAAAACCTTTAGCTTTAAAAAGTTTTTTTTCTGGAAGGGGAATCCAAAAGTTTGAAAGGCAATCAGTTTAGTACCTTTTGCACACTAATAATCACATGCAGTGTTGCAACAACAACAACAACATTTATATAACTTCTTTCATGTCAGAAGGACATCCCAAGGTGCTGGACAGTTAAGGGTTTGTACCCGAGCAGGGAATTAGAGTCCAGAGGGTCAGAGGGTAGGATGATGGAAGTGGGAGCGGAGGAGAGAGGAGATAGGCCTTAAAAGAGGTGAGGGAGGGAGGGAGGGAGGCAGGCGGAGGGACTCGGGGATAGAGCTCCCGAGGGTAGGGGCAGAAAAGCTTAAACTCCTGACCGCCAATGTTGGGGCGGGCAGGGAGGGAGACATGGAGCAGACCAGTGCCCGCCGAACGGAAGGAGCAGGAAAGTTATTATGGTGTTAAGAGGCCGCAGAGGTAGAGAGGAGCAAGGCCATGGAGGGCTTTAAAAGTGAGGATGAGGATGTTAAACTCGGTCCTCTGGGGAATGGGGGAATGGGGAGCCACTGGATGGGGGTGATCAGTTCATGGAGCCTGGTCTCGGAGAGGTCACAAGCTGCAGAGATCTGGATAATCTGTAGCTTGTGGCGTTGGGGAGTCCAGCAGCCAGGGAATTTGCGTAGCCGAGCCAGCGGAGTTGCACTCAGCAGAATTTGAGGAAATTGCAGAATCTGAGCTCCTCTGACCCCACTTCTCTGCTCGCCCCCTCCAATCAGCTAACTCAACTTGCATTTATATAGCGTCCCTCATGGCAGGGTAGCAACTCAGAATGCTTGAGACACTAACTCAGGTTTGCTGTGCATCCCCCACCCTACACCCAACGCCTTTGGAACTCCCTCCCTCAACCCGTAAGACTCATACCCTCTCTCTCTGTTTCTGAGTCCTTCTGTAAACCTAACACTTCTTTCTCCGAGTCTATAGTCATACCCTTCTCCTCTCCCCACCCCCTTGTTCGGCGTCCACCCCCACCATTGTAAAATGCTTCAAGATATTATTCTGTGTGAGGGGCGCTATATCAATGCAAGTTTTATAATAATCACTCCTGCATTTGAAATCTTGTCTGTCTCATCAGGAGGTCATCATCTCAAAGCACTCCACAGGATTTTAGTCTAATTGTAGTAACTGGGTATTTTGTAGGCGATGCAGTCCTGCAAGCTTCATTAACACAACTTTACGTTATTTCTCGTCAAATTTTACCACAGTGCTTTGTCCCCTCAATTCTACTGACGAAAACTTTGACTCATTGTTTCTCACTACTGTACCAGAATATGGTTTCACAGGTGCTTATTGGTGATTTCCAGCAGGATATTCAATAGGTGGATGTGCATGTGTGTGTGGGCTGGTGGGGGGAACCACAACTGAGTTGAATCCTTCCCTTAGCAAACGTCCACATTTTGAACAGGGGTAGGGGTTGTAGTGGTGTCACAAGTTAATAATCAGAGCCACAATTATCAGATGATTTCATCCTGTGTGAGCCAGGGGTCTGTTATAGCCGGTGGTAGCGCCTCTGTTGCTGCCTCAGCTGAGAGCATTTAACAACACAGATGAGGAATCAAACCAGGGATCTTCCACCTCTGGTTAAACTTGCTGACTCATCGGGGGAGCTCCAACACTGAAGGCACGTTTCATTGTGCTGCTCCCAAGAATCTAGTCGTGTGACGCCCTTCAGCACTTCAGGCAAACTGAAACACCTGAATCGTAAACAGTCTTTAACAATGAAAAAGTTTATGTTCACAATAAAAATAAATTGATCCTCTGGTTTTATTATTACTGTGTATTTATATAACACAGGGACTTGGTGGACTGTTTATATTTGCAGATGTTATATGATGAGAAAAGCACACTTTTTGTAAAACAACAACAAATTACATTTGTATAGCATAGGAACCTAGAAACATACGAATAGGCTTATTCAGCCCTCAAACCTGTTCTGCTATTCCATTAGATCATGGCTGATCTGTATATCAACTTAATTTACCCGCCTTTGCCCCATATCCCTTGATACCCTGACCTAACAAAACTCAGAGGACGTCCCAAACTGTAAAACCTTCAATCAATCACAAGTCTTTATATACTTATGACCTGTTGCAGTGACAAACTGCAGTATTACTGTGATAAAGTACTATTTGAAATAATGAGAAACTGTCATTACTAGCAGACGAGAAAAGGTGCACTGTAACATTTGCAGGCATACCCAATGAATAGTAGTAAATCTTCAAAATACATCCAACCAGGGAAAGCACCGGCTGAATTCCATGATCAGATAGTTGAGCATAAAAGAGTTTGATTTGAAGTATTCAAACAATTTTCTTTCAGCACAGATTGAAAGATCAGGTGGAAACTCACATGATTGTCAGGACTGTCCCTGATAGCATGTTTATCAATAATTCTATCAAGTCACATTGAAAACAACATTCTTCGCACATTTTAACTTAAGCACAGCTTGCTGTATCACTTGCACAAACATAAGGCCAAGTCAGGCTATGCCATCTTGAAATATAAGAATAATAATAATAATAATAATCCTCGCATTTGATATAGCGCCTTACCACATTGTTGAGAAGTCTCAAAGCACTTCACAGGATATTCTGTAAACACGCCTCTGTTTTCCTAGCAGTAAGTAACAATCTGGTTGTTAGTCGATTGACAGATCGCTTTTCCAGGAGTAATAATTCCTTAGAAAAAAGAATAATTTGGTCACTTAATCCACAACTGTTTGTGGGACACTGCTGTGCGCAATTGACTGCCACATTTCACCCACAAAAAATACAGTCAATTCGCTATGCAGTATATTCTGTGAAGCACTTTGAAAAGTCTCAAATACATGATGCAAGGATTATTATTATTAAGAGAACCGATCGACGGAATGTAATAGGTTTGTCCAGTGATTACTTGGGTACCTGGATGCTATGCACAGTCAGGATAGGAGATTACATTACCATTTGATACTATGTTCCTCATCTAGCATTATGGCAGAAAATCCCTTGGCACAGATATTACCCAAATTTTCCCCAGTATCAGTGAAATAAGAAACTTGAAGAGTCTTTCTGTGAAGAGACTCCCTGTTTTTTTACACACACGGGCAAGTTTCCATTTCCCAGTGGAATCTCTGGAGTTTTGGAGCCTTCAAATCAAAACAAATGTTTGCCTTTGTACAGTGACTGCACTTTAAAGTAAATCCTTGAAACGCTTTTTGATGTGCCTCTAATATGGAAAATTATTACTATGCTGCAAAAATTAAAATGACTGTTTATGGGACACCGCTGTGCTCAATTGGCTGTCGTGTTTCGACCACAAAATGCAATCAATCCGCTTTACAGTATATTCCTTAAAGTGCTTTGAGATGTTTCAATAATAATAATTTATTGCATTTGATATAGCGCCTTATCATATCTTCCATACGCCTCATAACACTTCGCAGAATATACTGTATACTCAGACGTGATCAGGTGCTATATCAAATGCAACAAGGGTTATTATTAGTATTATCCTTTTGGAGTTCAAAAGCTGAATCAAGAGCAGTATCAGTTTGCGAAGAGCACCGGTGGCTATCAAAACATGCTAACTGCCAAACCTTTTAGATGTTTATTTTTGCACCTTATAAATCAAAGTGGAAATGTTTTGCTGGTGAAGAGAAAGATCAAACCTGCATTTTATAGCACATTATCACAGCGAAATAACTCAAACTGCTTTCCCTTGTTAGCATTTG